ATCCTTCCCGGGGGGGGGGGGGGGGGGGGGGGAGCTCATTTTTGTTTTCTGCGCATAAGAAAGGAAGTAGCGGTGACGTCAGAACGCCGAGCCCTGATTGGCTGATCGCGACCCCCTATCTGAGCGTCGTCTGCTCCTTTGCAACGTCGTCTGCTCGCAACGTCGTTTGCGTCTGTCTTACCTTTCCTGCGACTTTCGGAAGTCGAGCGAGCTCGACTTCGCCTTTCAGAGAGGGCAGACGAAATAACTCGAGCGGTACGTTGTTTTTGTCTAACAACTAGCAGACGCGCATCAAGGAGGGAAGTCAAAGGACTCACTGGCGAGGTGTCCGAGGTTTGTTTGCTAAGAACCGAGAGGGTGAGCGTGTTAGTGTCCGCAAGTTCCCTCCCAAATACTTTTTCCCTCGTTTCGTGTGCGGCGAGGCCCCTCACTCCTTAACGGCGTCGGCGGGTTGGGGCAGTTAACGTCGTCTGCATTACGTCTGCTAGTCAAAGCGATGGCTGCTTTACCTTTCCTGCGTCTGTCGGAGATTCACCGATTTTTCACCGGCGAGAGTCACCGTTGCCTTGGGAAACAGGGAAACAAGGAGTTAACATAGAGGAAAAAAATTGACCTTTAATCTAAAATTGAGGTCAGCGATCAAAGTACAATACGGGAAGGGTTCACAAAGGCCGCGCGGGCATATTTCATTCAGCACGCCAGCCGGTCGTTGGCAGACGGTCGCCGAGTCGTGCAGTGCCTGCTAGGTATAACTGCCTAGCTCACTTGGTCGCGTACGGTGGAATCGTGGAAGTTGGAGCTTTTCCCGGGTGTTTGTGGATCCAGCGTTCTTGTTCGTCGTGGTCTGTTTCAAGTACTTTTTACTTTTTTCTTACTGCTTGAAGTCGGGACGCGTGAGAAGCGCACGTAGAAAAATAAACGTCCGTGGGTCGTCGCGACCGCGACGCTGCCGGCCATGCTGATTTGTTCGTAAGAAGTGCGTAACTTCGGAGCTGTCGTAGGATTTTGTCGTAACCTGCGCAAAACTTATGAAAATTTTGTTTTGTGAATACGAATTTGTTCTTAAGTTTTGTCTTACGCACAGGTCATTTCGTGAATCTGGCCTCTGCACTTCCGAAAGCCGCAGGAAAGGCAAGACTGACGCACACGACGTTGCAAAGGAGCAGACGACGCTCAGATAGGGGCAACGTTACTAAAACCCTCAGTTGGGAAACTTCCATAGTGACAGCCCTAAAAATATGGCCCCAATCTGTCTCCGAGCACCGAGCTAATGACGAACACCACGCCACCATTTCTCCCGCAGCGGCCACTCGAGAAACTGCACGCGACTTCTATTTTTGGCTTTGACAGGGTGAACCCCCGTCTCCCCGGCGGACGCGCCGCGTTGAACTACTGAAGTTAAAATGCACCTAGGTCGGGACGCGCTACCTGAAAGGCCCGCTGAGGCATGGTTTTATACAAACAATATTAATTGTTCCGCAAAACCTTGCGAACTAAAGATGATAAAAACATCACGCGCCCATCATTTGGTACTAAACTCCAATAAATTTCATACAAAAAGAGTCTTTTCCCTTTGTTTTTACGCAAAAACAGGCTTTCAAAAAGCTCGAGGTGACCATAGTACAGACAAACGAAAAAGAGTGGCGCTGTTGTCGCATTTAGCTCGGTCTCGGTGGACGCCAGCGGCCCAAGTTTCGACGGCGAGTTTCCCAACTGAGTGTTTTAGTAACGTTGGATAGGGGGTCGCGAGCAGCCAATCAGGGCTCGGCGTTCTGACTTCACCACTACCCCCTGCGCAAGAAGCAGACGAACTTGCCCTCCGCATATGTTGTTCGTTTTAATTGGTACCTTTACATGCATTTTTTTTAAATTTTCCGTGAGTCGATATTAACAATAATTCGCTCTACTTGGGTTTGTTCTAAACGGGTTTCGTTGTACGAAAATGGTTACATATACTCCGTCTCACTAAAACCGTGCAGTACATCCAGAGCTACAGGGGAGAGAGTGTATCCCGACCTGTTCAAGAGAAGACAAAGGAGGAACCTGGGAATCCCAGCCTTCTCTCACGTTCCTCCTTTCCCTCCTTTTGAACAGTCTGGAATACACCCTCTCCCCTGTAGCTTTGACTTTACGGTTTTAGTCACGCGGAGTATAGTGTACGTGCTAAGAACCAAAGCAAAACGCATCGAGAGTCGATGGCCGAAAACATTGGTGTCTTTTTATCGCCTTGTGCGATACAATCTACCGGGTGTTTCTGCGGAAACTTTGAAACATTCTGCGGAGACTCAAACTTTCAAAAACAAAGTGTTTACGAAAAAAAAAGAAAGCCGTTTACAACTCCCTGTAATGCCGAATTAGAGCGCAGCTCTTGAGGAGGAAAAGGGAAGGGTACTGAGGGGAGGGTATACCCTCCCCCTTCCTCCTCCCTCGTAATCCTGCCGTCTACTCCTCCTCCCTTCCTCCTCCTCCTCCACCCCCTCTTTCTCCTTCACCCCCTCCCCTTCCACCCACCCGAGATCACGTGACCCCCGAACCTGGGGGGGGGGGTTCACGTGAACTGGGCGGGGGTCACGTGACCTGGGGGCTCACGTGACCTGGGGGGGGGGGGGGGTCACGTGGCCTCACGGTTACACCGACGCCGCTCAAGCCGCGAACGGGCGCCTAAGAGCTGCGCTCTAAAAACTCTTTTAGGGAACAAGCAACCAGCCATGACGAACATCAGATTTAAAAAAAAATACTAATTTGCAAAATAATTACCTTGAATTTATGATTAGCGTTCTAATTATTGAAATAAACATATTGTTCCAATTGGAACCTTGCTAAGAGCGTTATCGAAAACGCCTAGGTCAGTCAATTAAAGGGTCAGCGAAGCTCTTATCTGTACGACAACTTCACGACAACTATACGACATCCATACGATTTACATATCATTGCAATGAAGACACGTGCACGACTTCGTTGTTTAATTGTCTTTATTTCATTCCTAGTGGCTAAAGTGATCATCGCCTTATGGTCACTTACGGGCATGTTCTAAACCCAATTTTCTGAGGCAGGTTTCGAGGACAGTTTTTTCCGATTGAGCCCAAGCCTCTTTTTCAGCATCGCGGATGCGATAGCAAAGAAGGTTAAATCGGCGCGTTCTGCCCTCAGCCTCGTCACAGCACACTCTTAGCTGAGATAAGTCGGTGACTGTAGATGATAACAAGGGATCAGGACCTCGCTATCTAATATTGCCAAGGAAGGCTGACTCACGCGGGTTGCCCCCTGTTTTTATTTATACTTGCAACGACCAATCGGAACGAAGGAGTTCTTTTGTTAACATCCATGGACATATTTTTCCAGATCGGAGCACATATCAGTTTCACTGTAAAAGTTGTTTTCCCCTTTTAGAAATGCTAGTTCGATCCAGGTAATAGTTTGGAATTCCCTCGGTAATATTAACTACGATGGTTAGAACTCTACCTTTCTTATTATAGTCCTGGGACTATACATGTTTGAAAGTTTAAATGCTTGCACGGTGCGGACTATTTACAGGTGCGAACTATACGGGAATCTTGTTTTTCGAGATCCTTCATTATGACCAGACGTGACAAATTTCTGACTATGCATCGGGTGCGGATGAAAGTCCGGAATATATCGCAATAATATCTCTCGGTACATGATGCACCAGGTTTTTGAATGCATTATATATTTTGCAGCAACCGCGTACAGAATGACCAATTCATTCGTCATGAACTCTATCGCAATGCGCATTAACTTACTAATTTCAGTTGAGGTGTCCTACAGTTTTTAAATTCTGGTACAGGTACCTGCATACATCAATCCTGGAGCAGCGGCTTAAAGAAGAGTAACACGTTAAGTAATGCAATCAGTTTGTGCATTTTGAGCTCTTTATTTCGGAGCGAATTTCGGTACAAACGTACACATAAAAAAAAACCAAAAAAGCATTATACGTCTAGTTTTCCGCGAAGCAGTCAAAGAGATAATCACTGCTCAAAGACGAGAGCTGGGAAGGTCTATTCAAGAGCGTATTTAATGCTGCCGGTGCCCAACCACTTAAAAAAAATGACCGCATCTCCACGTGGTGAATGATGTTGATTGGGGCGAAGCTCTGGTGGTGCTGATGTTCATAGGTAGAGCTGATCATGCTGATTTTTTTTTATTGCTCATAGGTAGTGCTGAGTTCCGGGTTCCGTTTCGACTTCATTATTACTGCTTTATGGTCGGTGAAAGGCAGAGCCAGTGGTTCTTCAAGCGGATCAGCTTGGATCCGCTAGAAGCCGTGGGAACGCATCTCCACCGCTTAAGTCAACGGTCCATGTCAGAAAGAGAATGTGTGGTATGGAACGTGGTTATTTTTTAGAATTTGACCGCAGCGCCCTCTCCTGTATAGGCGTTGAGCGGCTACACGCAACGTTTCATTCATGACAGAAACCCCAGCTCTTGAGTTACTACCATATCCCAGAGCCCCTTACTCGTCCCGCAGTCATGGCCGAGTGGTTAAGGCGATGGACTAGAAATCCATTGGGGTCTCCCCGCACAGGTCCGAATCCTTGTCGACTGCGCAAACATTTTTCTTTTTATTTGAGCACGGACGCAGGACGGACGGACAAGGCTAAAGAGCTTCGCCCCTATTATTGCTGCGAGACTTTGAACACGCGTGCCCGTTAAAAGCTACGCGCGTGAATTTTTTCCTTTCACGGCAAGGCTACACTCTGTTTTGCCTGAAGTCCATGCGCTGTCAACGCAACGAGCCAATGGGGCCAATCAAGCTCCTCAGGAAACACACGCCATTGTATGTGCTTCTATGCGTGTTACAGACAACTGATTCGATCAAGCGCAAAGAATGCGTCGTGACATCGCGTTTATAGTCTCTGCGTTTGTGCTTGTGTTACAAGCTTTTGGCCCTGCTGAGACCTAAGATATTGGCGAAATCATAATTCATTTTTAGTATTTATAACTTGTAACTGCCGTGTAACGAGTTCAAATGAAGAGCTCACCTCCTGGCTCATCAGATGTGAGGCCCTCGTAGAGATGACGATTCCCGCCGACATGGTAGCCAGGTACGTCAGTCGAGAGACCCGATCGGTGAGTGCTCCTTCCGAGATCAAGATCCTGTACAGCGTGGCACACAGAAAGAACACGCTGCCCGCGTAGTACGAAAGCGCCTGAACCCCGATAATGGAGTTGATCTTTGTGAGCAGCTTGCGCAGGGCCACTAGGTTCGTCCGGATTCTTTCGGCAGCCTCGAAACTTTCCTTCGACGTCGACAGTGCAAGCTCCAGGGAGTCGTTGAGGGCCGCGAAGTACTGCCGAACCATTTCGGAAAAGTAGACGATCATCCAGAAGGAGAGGTTGTACCAGACGGTGACTAGAACACAACCCAAAAGGAACCCCGGAATGAAGACCGCCCTGAAGACAACATGAGACTCGTCGAGCAGGCTGAACGCGAGGAGCATGACCGTCCTTAAACCCAGCATGTACTTGAAGCCATCGAACAGCACGAAGGCGAAGCACATGAGGGACACTTGCCGGAGCCTGCGCTCGACGGCCTTCTTCGGGACTTGGAGCCTGCGCTCCAGCTGGGACGCCATTCTCACCACGTCGACCAGGTCGCTCCTCTTGAAGGCCATATTGAGGATGTTTACCAGCGCCTGCCCGTAAATCGCGGCGTAGAACCCGTACCCGGTTATGCTATGGATCTGGCTCAGCGTCTTTCTGCTCTGAGCCCTGACCATCACGAACGACGCAGGCGGCCACAGGGAAAGGAAGACGCAAAAAGCGAAGTGTACGAGCGAGAGCAGTCGAAAGTTGGGCCTGAGCATCCAGGGTCCGGTCTTGAAAAGGACTCCGTCGATGAAGCAACAGCCCGAAATTCGAGCGACGGCAAGGAAGAAACGGTAGCCTGGGTACGCGGCGGGCACCCTGCCGTCCATGAGGATAATGGGAGTCCTTCGCTGGTCAAGCGCCTGCGTTTCGCTGGTGTCGATGCCAGATGCGTCCATTGTGACGAAGGCGATGTTTTCGATCTAGAATCGACCGCTTGGGCCTCAAACACGCCTGTCTTTGTCCTTTTTTTCCAAGCCCCCCTCCCCTCCGTTGCTCGCCTGCCCCTATCTTTGTTTCGCTTAGCCTTGGAACGTCGCATGAATACGCGCGAGAACGGATCAATTTCTGTTCGAGCAAGGACTGGGGAAAAAAAGTATAGTAATTATACATATGCAGGGCGTAAATAAATTACGCATCGCAAAAAGCTGAAACTCACAGAGAATGTGACGCTAGCGCTTGGCATAACACGCGAAAGTTTGAGAACATGACGTCAGTTGGATCGAAAGATAATGGACCCAGGATACCTTTGAGCCGGGAGTCCGGAAAAGCGTTAATTGAGAAAGACGAAATTTCTTTATGAGCCGACGTCCACCTGAGCCTAGAAACGTCAAAACAACAACTGGAATTGTGACGCATGTAGCATTTATATTTTTGAAAAACACCTGTTTGAAAGAAAGAAAACATTATTATCCTTCTCGCCAACAAAAAGTTTTTTTTCGAAAATTAAAAAAAAACAAGTTGTTGGATGAATGAATTCAACGGCTGTAACCTTTATATCGGGCGGTAGCTTGCGCCATTTAGCATACAAATTAAGAACCAAAAATATGATTTGTTTCCTTTGACAGTTTGCTAACACTGCAATTTCGTAAGTATCATTAGGCGGTCTGGCATATCACCAAGATGACCTTGGGGGGGTTCGGGCAAAAAAACTAAAAACTTCACTCACGTTTCTCGCCCCGGCGAGGAAGTCGCCCATCCCCGGCGAGGAACTTGCCAATTTTCCTCTAATGAAACCTTGTCGGCGTTACGCCGGCACTGGGCCCACAGGAAGCCAGGGTGGAGACCCTGGGCCGGAGCCACGTGGGAGGGAGTCCCAGTTTTCCTCTGCCCCGCGTGTCCCGTCATTCAATTCCTCCGAGATAATTTCCACCAGTCTTCCAGTCTTTTCTTTGTTATTAAAATCCACTTATCTTCCTTTCTTCCATTCTCGTCTGCAAATCCCAGCGCTCCGGCTAAATCCGTTGCCCCCTCCGGGAGTGCGGGAGTAAGTCCTGTGCACCTCAACAGCACATGTTCTGCAGTCTCGTCTTCCCCTTTACATACGGCACACCGCGTATCCATTTCCTCATACTTTGTCCCATATGCCCTAGTCCCTAAAGCGCAGACCGCATGGCGCGTTTTTCTACACGCAAAAACGCGACGCTCTAAACGCTCGCGCGGAAGCTGACGCGCCCGCATGCAGACAAAACCAAGCACCGCCGGCTGCGCGTTATCAGTGTTACCAGATAACAGAATTCTCTACACGCGATGTAAATGTTGACGCATATACTACAAAATGGGAATTAAATGAACAAATAAGTAAATAAAGAGGGTTTGTGTGTCAAAAGAAACACCTTTTCAATTTTTATGTGGAAAATAAACATGGCTTTTGAACACTTAGAAATGTGCTGAATACGAAACAGCGTACTGTGCAGGATCACGTGATAGTTCGACCGACCCTCATTGGGCGAGAGCCGCTTTGACGCCTCGGCGCGCGCGTCTTGTTCTGGGTCGGCGAGAAACCAACGCTCCCGCGAAAACGCGCGCCCGCGCGCCGGAAATGACGTCGGTTTGACGCAGACACGCCTGAATCGCGAGCAAAAACGCGCCATGCGGTTTGCGCTTTATACTCCTGTTCTAGCCTCGAATGACAACGAACTCCCCCGTGAATTATGACACCAATGTTCCTACCTTATTTTCTGTTTTCGTCCTCTATACATACTTAAAGGGGCCATGCAATCATATTTAAGCGTTTACCTTTTTTTGCGGTTTCCACGTCTCTTGGGGTTCCGCCAAGCTAAAGGGCACGGAGAGAGTAACTAAATATCAGTGCGTCATATTTCAACCGGACGACGCGGAAACCTCCTCCACCGACAAGGGCGACCCGCGGTACCGAAAGCGCGCAAAATGTGACGTCTTTGGTCCTTGGCTTACTACTGGTCAGAGCCGCTAAAAGCTTCTTTTTAGTCGAAATACAAAATATAAGTGGCGCGAACCGTTTCAATTACTTATAAAAGTAGTTTTTGTTCACTATTTTAGATCAAAAAAGAAACGAATGCAGTTCATAAAGTACGGAAACAAGAAATGACCGGCCGATATACCCGCCACCAAGCGGTGGAAAAAGCGGCGCATACTAGAAAGGAAAAGTGGCATCAGGCGCCGACACGGAAAGGTCCCGGATGTACGCGGTGGCGCTGCGGTCGTATACCGGCTCGAGGATCCGACCGGTTCCAAGCGTTCCCAAGGCTCTTGGCGCGGGCTTGGCTGGCGATTTAGCCTTTTGGCGGTATGGCAGCGCGAAGTGGCTCCCGTTCTGAACTGATCTTTACCCCGTGTTTGCTGTCGTTTGTGGCCAATGAAGTGTCATGCCGAATTAGTATTTAATCGCGCAGCAAATGCAATGAGAGCCGCTCTGGCTGCCCGGTGCATAGAGCCTATCCAGAACACGCTTCAATGGCGCCCTCTCGCGCCGTCGACTCGGAGTGCGGCAGCCGTGAGCGCTCGATGAGCTCACTACTTCTCCTCTAGTTCACTGCCACTCTCAAGCAACCAAGGACGTCATGAGGGAGGTTATTTTTTGCTTGTTTTTGTAATTTTAGTTTGCCTATAACTTTTAAAATAAAGGGAATTTCGAGAAAAGAAAAATTTCACTAAGTTACTACGTTCAGTGCGCTCAGGTTCGGTGCAAATTAAAAATTAGTAAAAAAGTCATTGCAGGGCTTCTTTAAGGCTGATTTTCCTTGCATTCTTTCTTTTCACATCTTTCTCTCGGCTTCTTTTTCTAACTTTTTCATTCGATAGTCTGTTTTGGCCCTGCACTTGACTGTTGGCATTTTAATTTTAGTTTTCGGGTTCGGTTTCTCCCTTTAGTGTTCCAACTTTTTATGTATAGATACTTGTATATACTTTTCTCGCTCGTCGTGTATCTTCGACAAAGTCTAGCCCTTGTTTAAGTTTTAACTTCCTGGTCGCCTCTCTAGACTCGAAGGATGCCCAGCCCATGTCTCCCTGCACCCCTTCATTTGGTGTATTCCCATGCGCCCCCAGTGCCAGCCTGCCCAAGCTCCTCTGCCGGGTCTCTAAACTCCAAGAAAAAACTGGAGGAAAAAGGTAGCAACGCCGCGTTTTCCTCCCTTTTACTGACGCGCCCCCAAGCGGACACAAGAAGGGAGGAACGAGACGTTTTTCTCCTTCTCCAGGCAGACGGGAGAGGGCTTCCGCCTCCCCGCTTCATCTTCTTTCGGTTTCGTTTTTCGAGCACGTTGTTTAATAATTTTTTTTTTTTTTTTTTCAGTTGATTGAGCGTCAGCGGCAGCGCAGGCTGCCTGTAATTCCGTCTCCCAGCCCAAACGTGCAGAAAATGTCGGTTGCATAGACTTTTTTACTACTAATTTTATCAAACGAGCAAACAAAGCCGCTAGAAACAGCGAAGTTCCGGAGCAGTGCCAGCAGCGCCGCAGCGCTACGAACAGATGGCCGTCTCCGGATTGCGGAACCCACACGGAACCTCGCGGAACACGCGGAACGATCTGTCGACGTTGAGGACGTTATGAAAATCGCGGGACTGCGTCCAAGGCAGGCAGGTTTTGCTGCCGGGTGCCTGGGTGCCTTCTGTGCTAAGTTCGGTTCTGCTTTCCGATGCCGAGTGTCAACCGGCAATAAACGTGGTTCCGTATTTCTACGTGTCAGCAACATAGCAGCAGCGTCGCGATGGCAGTGTTGTGCGTTGTGAACAGAAGACTGGAATTATCGCCGATGGGACTGTGTGTTCGCGTTTCAGTGGTGTGACAATATGAGATGATGTAAACTAGAGGGCAGCGATGCCCAGGTCCCAGGTTGACCCAGGTTGTCCCAGGTTGACATTCCAATTTGCAATAAAGAGTTTAAGTCCGCTTGAGGGATTAAGATGTAGTCGATCGACCGGCGGATCGTCATGTTATAACGCTGCTCCTATCGTATACAGTGGCCAATGTGACTGTCGTCTGCGATGTCCTGTTGCCTCCTCCCCGAGAGCGAATGCGCTCTGGGAAGTATGGACATATGACGGAAAGTACGTATAATTACAAATTGAAATTTTAGCATTAAAAAAGAACGGTAGGAAAAAAAAAAAAAAAAGGCTATCCTTTATTTTGCTGTTTAAATATGCTACGGTTCCTGGAGAAACCGCCCTCCAAGTGGCGCGCTGGGATGAGCCCTAGAAGTTTTCGGGGTCCCCACGGCGTAGCTCCATACACTTGCCGCAAGTCGCGGCTTTGACTGCATTCAAGTTGAACAAAAAGCGATTTCTCTGGCCGTGAAGCTTCGCTTCCACCTCAGTGAATACCCCCTTTACAGAGATTCATTCAAGACGACAATTGCAGCCGCACGCGAACAGGTGCACAAATAGAAAAACAAACACTACAATAGAAATATTGGCTACGACGCTCCGTGCGGGGAAGCAAACACATGGCTTGGAACCGCATTGGAGCGCCTTGATTTATTGGCTTTCAAATAAGTACGGCATTAGCGTTAACTTTTTACTAAGAGATTCATCCCCTGAGCCGTTCAAAATACTCTCAGAGGTGTGACATTGCTGAAAAAATTCGACATGCTGGGAATATTTTTATCGCTTATTTGGTCACCGAAAAAATCCGTACCTTCAAAACGACCGGTATGAAAGGGGGAAACGCAGAGCACAGTTCTAGTGATCGGGTCGGTGTACTATTGTATTGGTGCTTCTATGTGCCGTGTATGTGTATGTGTTCAATGCTGCTAGTGATTTGCGTACTGCAGACTTGTGCTTGTTACTTGAAAAATGTAAGGGATTACAAATTGCCGAGCCTCAAATGTAATGGATTACCGTTACAAACTACTTTCGCTAAAAAGTAACGGGTTACTTTGCTCGTCACGTTACAAATTACTTTCATGCGACTTTTTTTCGTACACTTATCCAGAAAACAACAGAAACAGGTTTTTTTTATTTTTCAAAAAATATTCTGCAACTCCACTTTTCATTACTCATGCGCCCGTATTATAATAGTCTTTGTAAAAATAAAATATTGTATTTAAAGGAAAGAGTGCAGGTGCTTTCCGTTCACCTGTAAGCTGACCAGGCGCCGAAAGCTGGAACCACACCCGCCATCCCGCTAGCTTACGGCCTCTGGAAATGATACCTGCAATTGTGCAGACAAAGCTAGCGGCGCGCATGCTTAGTAGCAGCGTCTACCTCCGCTACGAGATTCGGAGCTGAAGAAGTGACCTACGAAAGACCCCTTTTGACTCGGGTGTTTCGCCTGTTATTCACAAGATAAGAAAAACTTGGTCCTAACGTTACAATGTATTGCCAATGCATAATGCAGGTGTCCCAGCTTACCTTGATGTGTTTCCGTAGATCGGAGTTTGTTGTTCTTGCTGAGGACATTCTGTGTGTGTGTGTGTGTGTGTGTGTGTGCGCGTGCGCGTGCGTGTGCGCGCGTGCGCGCGCGCGTGCGTGCGTGCGTGCGTGCGTGCGTGCGTGTGTATGTGTGTGTGTGTCTCTGTGTGTGTGTGTGTGTGTGTGTGTGTTTGCAAGCAAAGTATGCACTGAAACTCTAGGTTCGAACATCTCATTAAGGGATGGCCATGGAGACGATGGACACTGCATGACCGAAAACTCGACCAGTCAGAGAAAAAGTGGCGGTTACGGGTTATCGATCGTTCATCGGTTCTCAAATTTCATAACAATTATTCGTGGAGGCCAAGGGAAGGGAGGGTATAGAGAGCGAGGGAAGCGGTGGCCATCGGTCCCGGAAAATAATAGAGGACCACACCACATTTACGCGTTCTCTCTCTTTCTCTCTCTCAGCACTCCTTAGATGGCCTAACCCCCACCCCCCTCCTTTACCCCTTTATGTTGACAGTTGACTGTAAAGTGAGGAGTGGACTCGACCACCGTGCCTAGACAAGCAAACCAAAAGAAATATCGTCCGTACCCTCGAAGACGATGCTCTTAGCCTCCCGCCAGGCGCTTTTCAGCCGTGCCTCAGGAGCGTGCTAGAATACAGTAGCGTGCATCAAAGACAAAGAGAATCCGGCCCCCTCGCGCGGGGCTACATCGTCTGTTAGGCGAGTTATGAACCCGCGAATGGAGGGAATACGGACCCGCGTTTAATGTCTGTGCAGGTGGCGGGAGACTTCGAAGAAGTGAGAAAGGGTGAAACGGTGTAAAAGACAAAAACAAATAAACACGGAGAGCTTTCTCCTGCCCCGGAGGAGAAGAAAAACACGATAAAAGGCGGCGGAGAGCCCACTCGGCGTTGTCTATTTTTGTCTTTCGTATATTTGTACATGCCTCGCCCGTTTTTCTAGCGACTCCAGTGACCGGTCACACAAAAAATCGTGTCTTCTCTTTGGCTATTCTCCCCTTCCTGATGCTTTCTATTTTGTAGAACTTGCTCTATTTATGTTGCTGAATGTGCTGCTCGTATTGCTCCAGTTACTGTATTAGGCGCATATGTTTACAAAGTAACGAGTAATTAAAGTAATCCGTTACCAATATTTTGTAACGAAATTGCATTACAAATTACTTCCGAACAAAAGTAACGTGGCAGTTACGAAATTACTTGAAAAAGTAACGGATTACAAGTAACTCATTACTTGTAACGAATTACTTCCCAAGTCTGGCGTACTGTATCTACATGTTTGCATAATAAAGGTTCCCGAAAATCCCGAAGCGCAATGGTGGCGTGAGCAAATAAAAATATTTTCTTGTAGAACATGAATTAGGCGATACCTAGCGCTACCTAGCCTTGGTACTTGCAATAGATGGATGGATGGATGAATCCGGATGGATGGATGAGTCCGACTGAGCTGAGCCCTTTGGATCGGGCGGTAGCTTACGCAACCTAGCCCTTTTGTTTTACTATTTAAGCTTAGAATATTTAAATGTGAAAACTATATTCACTCCGCACTTTAAAAAAAAGTGAGGCTATAAAACCCCCTTACCATTAGTTAATAAGAAAATATCTAGTTTTCTCTCGCTTTCTGCCACCATTCACTTAATCTTTGCTTGGTAATCTCTACTGTCTTGAAATCCACTTTCTGTCTCTAAAACCCAATGACTTTATTAAATTTATGTTGTCTTCAGTAGGCATAGGGTGAAGCCCTTTACAGTAGAGTATCAAATGCTCAGCTGTCTCGTCCTCCTCTCCGCAAGCAGCGCACACTGTATCCCTTTCCTGGTACTTCGTTCTGTATGTTCTGGTTCGCAAAACACCTGTTATTGCCTCAAACAACAATGAGCTTCCCCTAGAATAGTCATAAATGCTTTCTTTGGCAATAACTGTTTTGTTTATTCCATAGCTTTCCAGAGCCGTCTTTGTCTGCATTCCCTCTAGCCACCGATCTCTTTCTGTGGCCTTAACTTTTTTCTTAACCCTTTGTTGGACGCGAGAAGATACAACATTGCACATGATTTTTTATGTTTCCAGTGTCCTTCTGGAGACATTTTATTTGCAAAAAAAGAAACATAGAAGCAGTCAGACATTTCACAGCTGAGAAAAAAGTGGGACCTAATTGTCCCATGAGCCGCTTAGGTCACTTTGACAAAGTGGGACAGGGGCGTCCCACAGCTCACTTCAGGTACTCCATCACTGGCTATGGAAAGGTCCAAAACACACTGCGCAGAGGGGAACCTTGCACACACTGCACATATACTTAGTGCGAGCCTCTTTGGCTTTTGTTGAGCACCAGCGGCACCTCCGACGCGTTTCTGTCAAGATGGGGTGATGTGCATTACCAGCGAACCGAAGCTCCTCAGGCACACCGATCATCCCATGGCCATTCTTCTTGCCCCGTTTGTTGTGGTGGGTGACTAGGCTCGTCCTTCGTTTCCGGAAGCTGTTCTGCGCGATCAGCTGGCGTCCAAGCTTCAGGCGGAAGTGCAGGTACACGACTGGTTCCAAACAGCTGATCTGAATGAAAGCGTTGACGACTGCAGCATCCAGAATGAAGTAGAAAATCCTAGTCCACCAGCGTTTCGAGCGACGGTCTGCGGCATATGCGTTGCGTTTCTGGTCGAATTTATCGACTCCGCCCATCCAGTTGTTATAATCTTTTACCACTGCGGGGCACTCCACTGCCTTCTTTTTGCCATTTGGCAGTGTTCGCTGGACTTCGAGTGTGCTCTCAGGATCATGGTAGTTTGACATGATGTGCACGTTTTTTGAGTCCCTCCATTGGTATGCGACAACGTCCCCTTTTCTTCGCCAAAGATAGGAGCCCCTTTCAAGTTTGTTGTCGACCTTGACCTCAGGCGGAAGGTCCTTCTTGTTTGTGCGGAATGTTCCACAGGCTAGAATGTCCCTGTTGCGGAGTTCCTGAAGCAGTTTTGTTGACGTAAAAAAGTTGTCAAAAAACAACTGTGAGCCGACTGAAACGGCTCCGTCGGCAAGTGATAGAACGACATGTTCCCCCAAAGTTCTGTCAAGTGGCTTCTCGGCATTCTTGCCCTCGTACAGTTGGAACTTGAGAAGGTATCCTGTCTGGGAGTCTGCCAATGACCACACCTTGAACCCTCTTTTTATTTTTGGTTTCATGGGCATGTATTGCTTCATGCTTGACCGTCCTTTGAATAAGATCATACTTTCATCCACAGCAAGATGACTGGACGGGCTGTACTCTGAGTGGAACTTTTCATTCATCATCTTGATGAGAGGGCGCACTTTGTAGGCACGATCAAAATCGTTCGTTCCATGCTCTGGCATCTTGGCGTTATCATTCAGGTGAAGGCAGTTCGTTATCATCTGAAAACGTTTGTACGTCATCACCCTCGTGATCTCTTCTGTGCGAAAGAGGCTATCTGAGCTCCAATACATGTGCAACTGGTGCATAGGATTGACACTCATAAGCATGAGTAGTCCAATGTACGCTCGAAGCTCGTCGAGTGTCAGAGGCGTCCACCCTCTTCGATTCGTTTGCTCCGCATAGAGATTGGTCTGCTCCACAATGTGATGCATAACCTTATCATCAAAGTACAGTGTAAAGGCATCCAGCGCTGTGCTTTGCTCACTGAGCCGCTGCGAGCAAGTAGGTCCCAAATTGCTGGTAGCGGGAGGAACGATAGGTGACGTATTCCACTGATCGCCTGCTGTATCGTCGTCTTCAGGGTCTGGCTCAGTCCTCTCGCTTCTTTTTTGCTTTTTCCTCTTTCCCGTGTAGGACTTGCGTGGCTTTCGCTTGCGCTTGCTTGTGCAGGGAGCAGCCAATGGCACTTCGTCCTCATCCTCGTCCTCTCTACACTCGTCGGGGTCTAGATCCAAAAGTTCATCCTCAGAGCCGTCACCGTTCTCATCGGCGCTGTCATTTGGATCGTCTGGCAAACTAAAAAAACACCTCCAGTGCCTCTTCCGGGCTTAGTCGTTTTCGTTTTCCTAAAAACACACAAAATGAACGAAATGTAGCCGCGTTCGAATAGGCCTCGCGCAAAAGTAGGCGCTACGGTGACTAAGCCTAACGCCACAACCAGAAATTTCACTGTCCCTCGCAAAAACAAGCATTGCGTTGCTCTGCTAGAATGAACGGGACAATACACTTGTCCCTGCGTTTCTTATAACTCTTCCGCAGTGCAAGAAACAAAACTTTCACTTACCAGGCATTTTTTTTCGTTCTGTGAACTTCCGGAAAAAGGCATAACAAACGACCGAGCAACGCAACGAGACAACAAAAATTAACCATAGTTTTCTGTGCTGCCCCCTCTTGGTATAGAGATGAAATTGTACTCAAAAGTTTCTCTGACTCCTCATAGAGGGAGCCACACGAAGAAGTGGGAAAACGTTGTCCCACAGCATGGTTGAGGCCCACTTTAGGTTGGAATGATAAGTGGGACGCATATGTCCCAGTGTCCAACAAAGGGGACCTGCTCTTCCGTAACTCCACTAGCCTGACACATTTCCTCTTAATTTCCTAGTGCGCTGTCTCCACTTTGTGTCTATACTCCTCATGTATAAATAGTTGAAAATCTTTCGTGCCCCTTGCTCCTCATCCATTTGCCTCAACCGATCCTCAAATTTCATCTTGCTCACAGCTTCCCTGCCCTCAAAAATGACGCCCATCCCATGTCTTCTTGTACTCCCTGGTTTGGCGTTTTGCCATGTGCTCCCAAAGCCAGCCTACCTACTCCGCGCTGTTTTATTCCTATAGTCTTGCATGCACTTCGGATTTCATGCATAGCACGTTCCATGCATGACCCCTTTCCAAATCTCTCTCACCACCTCATACCTGTTGTAAATCCAAAGTGGTCTATTTTTCATTACAACTGCATTTCTGTTGCCTTTAACTATTATATACTTTTCATTTACAATTACTCTAGGGTGCCTCGATGTCAGCGCCGCCTTGCAGGATGAGGACACCCTTTGACCCGCGCCACGCCGCCACCTCCTCGCTGTCCTCGCCGCGACGGCATCTTGGTTCAAACGACGGAGTATGCGTATGCGTGCGGTGTGCGATGCGTGCGGTTGGACGTGCGGCGCGACTATATATCTTTCACCCTGGGCCGCGCTGTGCGCGAAAAAGCCTTTCTGGTCTTACCACTGATCTCATAGACTAGATCGGTGGGTCTTACTGATCTCAACAGCAGTCGTCCGAGCCAGAAGCATGACCGGCTGTTCTGTACCTCTGTGTGCCGCTTCTTCGGCAAAGGGAATCCGATGCTTCCGCTTTCCCCGAGAAAATGCGCGAAGAAGGAAATGGGGGTCCTGCGTCAAACGCGATCGCTGGAAGGCAACTCACACCTCGAGGATCTGCGAGCTAAGTTACAAAAGCACGACCACTTTATTACGATGTTAGGCAGTATTCGGAAATTGTCTTAGCAGCTCCGATCGATTGCTTCATGATCGGAGTTGCTCGACTAAAAATCAACCCTCGCTTTGTCTCACCGGTCGGATCGAGCGATCAATCGGAGTTGTGACGTAAGGAATTGATTCTCTAAAGCACCCCATCCCAAGTTGTAATGGTGATACCTATATCGATATCCCTTTTCCTTCCGTTAGGGCATATTCACTAATTAGACTTCCCCGATTAAAATAGGTTGAGGCGGTAGTTCTTCAGCGTGCGAGTTTCTCGCTCGTGCACAACTTTGTGAAAACTTTTTGTGCTTATTTAATTGTTCAAAGAGCCTGAAACGATCTGATAAGCGTGGAATATTGTCGCTTGCGCGTACACCAAGTTTCTGTAGTTCAGTGACTGCATGCTATCTTCGCCTTTCAATCAACAGCCTTGATTCGCGACTGGCCACCAACTTTTTCTTTTTTAGTTGGATTATTTTTGTGTGTGGGAAAATAATCGCTGATGGTGAATCTCGAGCATGATCAATAATATGTTTTCGAGATGATACTCGGGAATGCAAAAATCGCGACATACCTCGGTAGTCGGCGTGTGATATATTTCATGGTCATGTCGCACAGCTCAACGTGCTTGACAGAATGACATGACCTTGTCCCTGTTTGATTAGTACTTACATCGCTCTCTTCGTGCAAGGTCGAACAATTAAATAAAATAAAGCACATTTTACGGTAACATTTTGAAAATATATTCCGAATTGTTTTGACGTAAGATATTATGCAAATATTTTCTTCAATTTTTGTTTACGCTCACGTCTGTGCCTTCCAATCTGCACATAAATAACAATCTAATTTCTTGTTTATTTCAGCGCCACTTCGAATAAGACCAGTACGAGATGAACCGATAAGATGGGCGGCGACTTCTGAAGCCGACAGCTGTACCTACATTGTTTGATTTCAGACGTAAGTGTTGAGATACTATTACTGTCTGTGCCTCACTCGTTTGCGTACAATTTTATTTTGTGTTTAGATCTGTGCTGTCTCTCCCTTTTCTGCGCAGCGCAGCCGAAGCGAAGAAAGCCCCCCACACCGCGAGCTCCTCCGGCTGATCGTGGAGGTGCCACCACTGCAGGTCCGTCGTCAATTTCTGCGGCAGGAGTCTCGGACCAAGAAGACTCTGGCACGGAGGACACTCAGACAAACCCCATTTCAGAAGATTGCGTGTGATGGAAACAAAAGTCGCTGCGATGTCAGATATTGAAAAGGATTGCGTCCTTTTTCTTGATGAAATGGAAATTCGAAAAGGCGTTGTGTTGGACCGTGGCAATGACACTTTGCTTGGCAAAACGACGTTGCCCAAGAGTGACCATCGTGCAAACCATGCTCTCGTTTTTATGGTGGGAGGGATCAACTCGCGCTGGAAGCAAGTCGTAGCATACCACTACACGGGCGCATATATCAACGGAGAGGAGCTGAAGAAGTTTGTTTTTGACTTAATCGAGCCCTGTGCAGACATTTCACTGCGTGTGCTCTGTGTGACGTGTGATATGGGCAGTTCTAACCGTGCCATGTGGCACGGTTAGAACCTCTCCATTTCCCGCAGTTCTGTGACCGTATGCAGTGTGCCGCATCCCTGTAATGATGGTAAGCCATTGTTCTTCATGACAGACCCCGCACATGTGTTGAAAAATATAAGAGGGCTTTTCGTACGAAAAGACGTAATGCACCTGAGTGACGAGGTAGTCTCCAAGTTCAATTTACCAAGCAGCGAAGTCTCAATAGAGCATGTGGAAATAGTGCTTTAAGTTGGACACTGAGCAGCGTGTGGCACCCAACTTAAGCAGTGCTCATGTGTCAAATGGCCATTTCACGAAAATGAAAGTCGGAATAGCGGTGCAGCTATTCAGGGAAGCTCCCTCGGCCATTCGGTATTTTATCCAACGGGACAAACTGCCAGTTGAGGCCGAAGCAACTGCCTGGTTTTTCGAACTGGTGTTTAGATGGTACACCCTAATGACCTCTCGCCATCCTGTCGTTGCTTTGAGTTTTGCGAATGAGAGCAAGTATCAGGACGCCATTTCAACTCTGAAGCTCAGCATGTCTGTTGTTGAGGGCTTGGGGATCGGAGTGAAGAAAGTAGAGAAGGTGGAACAAGCTTCCCGAAACTGTTGTGAATTGTGACTCATTAGCCTTATTCGAGAAATGTTTACTTGAATTATATTAGGCTCTCCATTCTGTTTATGAATGTGTAAAAGACGTGTTCTTTTCTTGGTTAGATTCATTAATAGCTTGTGTAGCGTGATGTGTACCAGTGCGGTTTTGCAAATCATATGAAATATAAGATGTGTTAAGAAATGTATATAACATTGCATGATTTAAAACTGACGTTCCACTCCTGTAAAGCGCCCAGAAGGGCGCACAGTATTTACAAATAAATAAATAAATAAATGTAAGCCATGCCAGGGCAGGGGTACTAATGTCGACAACTGTAGTGTTGCAATTGCACGGTGTTCTTTTGAACAAGTGTGGCTACAATTTTGTGCTGACAGGACGGTTAGCTCAAGACTGCCTTGAGAACCTGTTTTCAGCTGTCAGAATGATTTCTCCAGTGCCAAACGCATATGACGTGAAAAATGCACTCAAAATTGTGACAGTAAGCCAGTTCATCAGTCCCCAAAAATTCAGGCTACGACATTGACGACAGCACCTACCTGGTAGATTTCCTCTCCGCAGAAATCAAAGAGGTGCAGCAGGAAGTTGAAGAGCCTCCAGGAGATGATGAGACTATAGAAATTGAACCACTCCCTAGAGCCGAGTCCGACATTGTTGCTCATTTGGCAGGGTTTTTGGTTAAACCTCTGCTCTCCGCTCTACAGTCGTGCCATGTCTGCACACAAATGCTCACTGCAAAAGAGGCTTCCGAGGAGCATGCTCTTGTGCTTATGAAAGAATATGTTCGAGGTGGAAAACACCTCACTTACGTCAGTCTGGAAGTCTTCAACTTGGTTTCTTGTTGTGAGGGGGTATTTAAAGCATTCTCAGAAGAAGAGGACATTTGTCTTTTGAAGAGCCCAATGAAGACCGTGAGAAAATTATTGAGCAATCTGTTCCTGTTCCCCATGTTGAGTGCAGAAAACACCCAGATCTAATGTGCAGGTTGTTGGAGCGTTTTGTCGTAATGCGCCTGCGCATTTATTTGCATTGGCTAAGTCAGCCGGAAGAGTAAGATGATGGTTATGGTAGTAAAACGGTCGCCGGTACCAACCTGCAGTGAGATGCAGCTTTTCGCTTTTCCAGAAATAAATATTGTTGTAGACTGAGTTAAGGCATTTGTGTCTTTTTCCTGTAATGTGGCATGACTCAAGAAGGTAGGGCAAGGGAAAGGAAGGCCGGCGAGGAGAAAGCGGGCGGAACGCTGGAGAGAGGAGGTTTCCCTCTTTCCTCTCCAGCGTTTCGTTTGCCTCCTCTTCCCCGGCCTTCTTCTCCCTCGCCCTTCCTTCTTGAGTTGCAACGGACTATAGAAACATATTTAGTATAATAAATTACAGAACAAGTGCATAATATAGAAATCGAGCTCTGCGATAAGCACCTCCTATGGTAGAACAGCTGCTACATTTAACAACCCGTCGCAAAGTCGCTAAAATGTATAATATTCTTCCATAATGTGCTACTTCATATCTCGATCAGTACGCATAGGGGTTGCCACTTAAAAACGCTGCAATCGCTTTAGCAAAAAAAAAAAAAAAAAAAAAAAAAAAGAAGAAGAAAAGTGTGGCAACCACAAATTTGTGGGAATGTTATAGTCTTGATATTTTTGATGAAGAGCGTAAATTTCGAAAGTGTGTTGAGGCTATTGTTTTTTCCTAACATTTCGCTTTGATCCTGTTTGAAATTT